GCCGAAAAGCCCAAAATTTAGCCCATTAAGCTAATATTTACATTTTAAGTCCTTTGGAGGTTATAATGTTCATAAAAACAATTATTGTAACTGTTTTGACTCTTTTGACCTTTAAGAAACCGTGATTTGGCAATTTTTAACCCAACTTTTGTATTTTTGACAATTTAAGCCTAAAAATGGGTTTTATGTTGAAATATGTTTATCACAATCTTGTAAGTTAATATTCTTGACTTGTTTAGTGCAATATAACTTAGATCATGTTTGTTTTCCTTCTTAGGACATAGATCTCGAGATTTATTCCCTTTTTGTTTACATATTCAACACAAAAACACATAAAATCACACATACATGCATAAAATCATACATAGCATACACATACACATAGATCTACACATTTTACTTGTATTCTCCCCCATAAAACTTATGAAATCCAAAAAGAGAGGGGTATGAAGCTCACATTTGCTTGTTGTTTTCGATTTAGAAGGAAGAAGTGAAGAAGTTTCGATCCTAGCAAGCCTTCTTGGAAGATCTCGAACTTAGAGGTTTCTAAGATGGTGATAATGAGTTTGAATAGATTAGGAAGAGATTTTTGATATAAAAAAGAATATAGATCATGGATCCAAGTATGAACTTACCTTAGATGATGATTTTTGTGGAATAATCTCCTTGAAAAGCTCCTAAATCTCGAAACGTTGATGAAGAATGAAGAGAGTTCTTATGTGTTTGAGAGAGATTTTTGAGAGAGTGTGGTGTGTTTGAGTTGGTTTCGGCCGAGAGAAAAGAGAGAGGAGAAAGAGAGAGAATTAAAAGGATGTTGCGTGGGAACATGAGATGAATGCATGGAAGACCAACATATAATAATGAGGTGGCATGTGGAAAGTCAACTCTTCCCTCCCTTGTGTAGTTGGGCCGAGAAGAGGAGAAAGAGAAAGGAAAATTTGGGCTTCTTGTGCTTAAGTCCATCTTATGGCCCAATTAGGTGATTTTTGACCCAAAATAAATCAAGGAATGATTTTTATGATCTATTAGGGCTACATAAATTTGTTGTGGTCCAATAAGGCCCATTACAGATAACCTAGTTCATTTTAGGCTTATAAGGCCCAAAATATTATGTTTCATGTATATGGGTCCAATTAGGGTCCATTTGAGAGTTCTATGTTCATGATAGTTAAATTGGAAGCTTATTGGTCCATTAGGCCCAATAAGGAAATCCTAGTCCAAAATCGACTTAAACCGGGATTTCTAGGGCTTCCAATTCTTTGTTGACTATTTGCAGTGCTTGTAAAAAGTGTTTGATGGAAGTTTTGTTTTTATTGAATAAGCATCATGCATGCTTTCACATTGTTGGTTTACAATTGTTATCATTGTTGTTGTTACAAAGCATCAAAATTCCAAGTTGTGACATCATCCCCCCGTTAGAGGGAATTTCGTCCCGAAATTCTTTTGAAAGCTAGATATGAGAATGCGAGAACAGGTGAGGGTACTTCTGCTTCATTTGGTCTTCACGTTCCCATGTGAATTCCGGTCCACGTCTCACATTCCATCAAACTTTCACAATCGGAATGCGACTCTGCTTAGTACGCTTCACCTCCCTGTCCATAATTTTGACTGGTTCCTCTATGAACAGGAGATTCTTGTTGATTTCGACTTCTTCTAATGGAATGATGAGAGTCTCGTCAGATAAGCACTTTTTCAAATTGGAAACGTGGAACATGGGGTGTACACTGCTGAGCTCAGCGGGTAGCTGCAGTCTATAAGTCACTAGACCGATTCGGGCAAGAATCTCGAAGGGTCCAATGTATCGAGGGTTCAGTTTTCCCCGCTTTCCAAAATGAATCACCCCTTTCCAAGGAGAGACTTTTAATTACACGCTATCCCCGACTCTAAATTCCAAGGGCTTTCACCGTTTGTCAGCGTAGCTCTTTTGTCTGTCTCGTGATGATTGCAGTCGGGCCCTGATCTGAATTATCTTCTCGGTCGTCTCGCATATGATTTCCGGTCCCGTTAAGGCATTGTTTGACGTTTGTCCTCTTGCTAGCTGGGTGTCTCCTACCTCAGCCCAACACAACGGTGATTTACATTTACGCCCATACAATGCTTCGAAAGGAGCGACTTTGATGCTCGAGTGATAGCTGTTGTCGTATGAGAACTCGATCAAAGGCAAGTGGGTATTCCACGATTTTCCAAAATCTATCACACACAAGCGAAGCATATCTTCTAGCGTTTGAATGGTTCGCTCGCTTTGACCATCCGTTTGTGGGTGGTAGGCAGTGCTCATGTAAAGTTGTGTTCCCATAGCTTTCTAAAGCGATTGCCAAAAGCGTGATGTAAACCTACTATATCTATCTGAGATGATAGATACGGGCACTCCGTGGAGTCTCACGATTTCTTTGATGTAGATTCTTGTCAGGCGCTCCATCTTGTATGATTCTTTTATTGGTAGGAAATGAGCGGATTTTGTTAATCTATCAACTATTACCCATATGGTATCCAAACCATCCGTCGACTTGGGTAGTTTGATCACAAAATCCATGGTAATCCTTTCCCATTTACACTCGGGAAATTACTGGTTGCTGTAGTAATCCGGAGGGCTTCTGATATTCCACCTTTACTTTAACACATGTGAGGCACTTGCTAACGTAAGTGGCAATCTCCGCCTTCATGTTAGGCCACCAATAATGTTGCTTAACATCCAAGTACATTTTGTCTGAACCCGGATGGATGGAGTATCGCGTCTTGTGGGCTTCGTTCATGACTACTTCTCTGAATCCCTCAAGTTTAGAGACCCAAATGCGGTTCATGAAGTAATTTGTTCCGTCTCCCTTCACTTCAAAGTTCTTCTCCATTCCACGCAACGCTTCGCTTGTTTTGTTTTATGCCTTCATGGCATCGAGCTGGGCTGCCCTGATTTGAGAGGTTAGGTGGGATCGAATGGTTATGGAGAGAGTTCAAACGACGATTTGAGTATTCTTTCCGACTCAAGGCATCAGCTACCACGTTAGCCTTGCCTGGGTGGTACTTGATTTCACACGCATAGTCGTTCAGCAGCTCAACCCATCTTAGTTACCTCATGTTAAACTCCTTTTGGTTCAAAATGTGCTGGAGACTCTTGTGGTCGGTGAAGATGGTGCACTTAGTACCATAAAGGTAGTGCCTCCAAATCTTCAGGGCGAAGACCACTGCTCCCAGTTCCAGATCATGAGTGGTGTAATTTACCTCATGCGTCTTTAGTTGCCAGGACGCGTAAGCTATCACCTTTCCACGCTGCATGAGTACACAGCCTAAACCCTGATTTGACGCATCACAGTAAACTATAAAGTCTTCTGTTCCTTCTGGTAGTGACAGCACCGACGCACTGCAGAGTGGTTGTTTCAGGGTCCGGAATGCAGCTTCTTGCTTGTCCGTCCATTCGAAGGGTACACCCTTTTGTGTAAGCGATGTAAGTGGCTTTGCTGTTTTGGAGAAGTTTTGAATGAATCCCCTGTAGTAGCCTGCGAGGCCTAAAAATTGGCGAATTTTAGTGGTGTTGTTGGGATCGCCCATCCTTCGATGGCTTGGATTTTAGAAGGATCCACATGAATTCCTTCCTGACTAACAACATGTCCCAAAAAGTTCACACTACGGAGCCAAAACTCGCACTTAGAGAGTTTTGCGTATAACTTTTCGGTTCGCAGGGTTTCCGGGATTTGTCAGAGATGTCGTCCGTGTTCTTCCTCGCTTCGAGAATAGACGAGGATGTCGTCGATGAAGACGATGACAAAGTTATCGAGGAACGGTCGGTAAATTCAATTCATTAGGTCCATGAATGCGGCAGGAGCATTCGTTAGACCGAAGGGCATTACGACAAATTCATAATGTCCGTAACGAGTTCGGAAGGAGGTTTTAGGAATATCCTCCTCCTGGACTTTGAGCTGGTGGTATCCAGATCGCAGATCTATCTTTGAGAAGTAACTAGCTCCTTGGAGCTGGTCAAATAGATCGTCGATTCGTGGAAGTGGATAGCGGTTTTTGATGGTAAGCTTATTAAGTTCCCTGTAGTCGATACACATCCTGAAGGTACCGTATTTTCTTCTTGACAAAGAGAACCGGAGCTCCCCAAGGTGAGAAGCTGGGTCGGATGAATCCTTTGTCCAAAAGCTCGTTGAGTTGACTGGACAACTCTTGCATCTCCACAGGAGCCAATCTGTAGGGTGATTTGCCGATGGGAGTAGCTCCTGGCACTAGATCAATTCGGAACTCGACTTGTCTTTCTGGGGGTATCCCCGGAAAATCCTCCGGAAAGACATCCGGGAAATCACAAGCCACAAGGATGTTTCGAATATTGATCTCTTCTTTGGACTTATCCACTATATGAGCTAGAAACGTCAAGTCCTTCTTTCGTAGGTACTTTTGTGCCTTAATGCACGAGATGGGACGAAGTTTCGTGCTGGGTTTGTCTCCGTAAATAACTACGGTTTCGTGATTTGGGAAGGTCAGGTCAGAAGTGGATTCCCGGTACGATACTAGGCTATGATTCCCGAGGAGAGAGAGAACTCTTATAAGAAAATGGGCTCATCAAATGGCACTCAGGTTCATATCTTTAATTTAAGTTCGATCATTGACAAGGTTCAAAGAAAGGGTGGGCTATTGATAAAGAATCGATTCCAAACCACAATGCTAGCAGATGGCGGGCCTCCGCTTTTATTTTCATTCATTTTTCCTATTAAAAAAATAAAATAAAATAAAGACTCCCGGCGATCTTTGACCGGGCGGGGTAGGCAGAAGTTGATCCGGTAGATCGACTAGCAGTTTCAGCTACTGCTCGTGATGATGATTTTGATTAGCAAGATGTTCACTTTTACTTGGATTATGCAATAGATTTTGCTTATTCTCCTCCCACGACGTGCCTAGCTATTACGTTCCGACTCATGCATCTGCCGGTAAAGTAAAGCACGTCCAAAGTGATGCGCGCCCCCATAGAAAGAAGCACGCCGCCCGAAGTAGCATCCTTAGACACATCCTTATCGCGGGAGGAGAAGAGACAAAAGATTCATATGAGAAAACATAAGTAAACGCGCCTCTGCTTGAGCCTCCAAAGATAAAGGCACATGAACAGCCATTTGATCCCCGTCAAAGTCTGCATTGAAGCCCTTACAAACTAATGGATGTAAACAAATAGCGTGCCCTTCCACTAAAACGGGGAGGAATGCCTGTATGCCTAATCTATGCAGAGTAGGCGCTCTATTCAGCAATACAGGATGGTCATCCAGAATTTCCTGAAGTATTTCCCATACAATCAGTTTTTTTTTTCCGAATTTGACTCTTAGCAACTCCTATGTTCGAAGCAAGATGTTTTCTAATTAGGTCACGAATTACAAATGCCTGGAAGAGTTCTATTGCTATTTCGCGAGGCAATCCACATCGATGTAATGAAAGTGAAGGGCCCACGACAATCACAGACCGCCCTGAATAATCGACCCGTTTACCAAGCAGAGTCTCGCGAACTCTTCCTTCTTTGCCTTCAATTACATCTGAAAGCGACTTGTAAACTCTATTATGATCATCCCTCATTGGGAGATGAAGGCGAACGACCCTCTCGTGACACATAATTTCAGCATGGTGGGGGCTTAACCAATCCATGCCGATAATCACATCTAAACTCCAAATGGAAACATGAATTAAGTTTATTTGAAAGACGTGATGATTTAAGGTCAGGGTACATCCGATGTAGATTTCCCCAGTGGATTATGTTTTCCCATTAGCCATTTCCACCGTGAAGGTTTCATTAAGCTTCTGGGATTGTTTTTTTAATAAGTGTTTGAATTTATTGCTCACAAAACTTCGTTCTGCCCCGGTATCAAATAGGATGCATGCATAAGTGTGGTTTAGGAGAAAGGTACCGGTAACAACAGTGGGATCCTGAACCGCTTCTCCCTGACCCATATCTAGCACCCTTCCTGTTCCTCCATTCCCTGGGTTGTTGGTGTTGGGGCAGTTTCGACGGATATGCCCAGTCTTTCCACATCCATAACAGGTGGGGCTTGATCCTGTGTTATTGCCGCTATTGTTGGTGTTGTTGTTGTTGCTGTTGTTGTTGTTGCAGTTGTTGTTGGTTCTGTGGAGGATAGGTCCTGCAATACCTTGTTGTGTGACCCTTCCGATTGCAACTGGTGCATTGCATTTCCTTGCATTCGCCATTATGATGGAGACTGCACTTGTTGCATTTTGGGAGATTCCCAGAATATTGCGTAGGAGTGGTTAGCTGAGGCTGGAGCATGTGGTGTGGCGGGTACTTGGGTGGTTGTAGCGTTGACTGTCACTGTTTGTTGCTTCTTTGTCGACTCCGAGCCTTGTCGCCCTTTTCTCTTGTTGTTCTTTCCTTTCTTGTTGTCACTCTCCTTCTTGCCTTCACTTTCCGCTGGCTTCTCGCCCTTCTTGTTGTTGTGGTCGTATATTTTCTTGGCCCACCTCTTGGCATTGTCGAAGGTTTCAGGATTTGCAGCGATTACATTTCCTTGAATTGGGGAGGTCAATCCCCAGATGAATCGTTCGATTTTCTTTCCTTCTGACGTAATCATGCCAGAGCACAACAATGACAGCTCGCTAAACCTTGATATGTATGCATCAATATCAGAGTTTCAGACGGTGAGACAGCTCTTGCTCCATTTTCTGAATTTCGCGACGAGGGCAGTACTCAGCCATCAACATTTCCTTCAACTCCATCCATGGCATAGTGTTGGCTACGGGGAGAGTCATGGTCTCTACATGTCCATTCCACGAACTGAGAGCTTGGTCAACGAATGTGCATGCGGCGAACTTCAGTTTCACCTCCTCAGGACATTCACATATCTCGAATACCGATTACACTTTTTCCATCCACCTCTTTGGGGTTATCATTCCACCCGTGCCATTAAAGGTTCGTGGCTTGGCGTTGGTGAAGTCCTTATAGGAACATGTTCTGGTAGGTCCGTGATTTGTTCCATTGTTCGAACTCCCAGCCCTTGTCCATTGACTCCACCAATATTCCCTTGATGGATTTGTGCCATGGCTGCAGTAACTGCAGCAGATACAGCTGCTTGGAATGCAGCTGAGTTGACTTCAGGTGGGGTTGGTCCAGGGTTTCCACGGGTTGGTCGTTGGGACATCTTTCTGTCATGGAACAGAAAGATGTTGAGTGCCTATGATTTTTGTGAGATTGTGGTCCTATGAACTAGGTGAATTGCGTGAACTTAAGTGGTTTCACAAATTAGCATACAATCATGTATATATAGCACATAGCAGATCACGACATCACAATAGAACACATACAACTTTTCATTAATATTATCCGAATTTTTGATACATGAAAATTTTGCTCAGAAGAGCATACATAAGTGGTGCAAGTTCGGCAGCGTAACGGCTCTATGAGTAGTGTAATCACTTAAACATAGAGTCGATGGTACATAGCATAGATCACCTAAGCATAATACTAAAGATAGATATGACTAGCCCTAGTCATGGTGGGATGCGCCAGGGGGTGGTGCTGAAGAAGTGGACGCTCCCTGAAGGTGAGCCACCTGTCGTTCCGCATCTCAGAGGCGAGTCTCCCATCTCACCTGCCTCATGTGGAACTCTCGAATAACCTCTCGCGTCTCCTGTTCTGCACGCTCAACTCTAGTCCGCATCTGGTGCATCTGATCAGCGGTGCTCTGCGCCAGGTCGCCAGTGTTCCGCAGTTGTCTCACCATGACCGGAAGTGCACGATCAGCTGGTCCTCCCTCCCTCAAGTCGTAGAACTCGTGTGACATGCCGAATGGAGGTCCCTGTCCTTGTTGTCTGCTCCATCTCCAAAGATCGATACCCCAGGGGGGGTGTAGGGCCGGTCGGGCCTATCCGATGAGCGGGCACCCTAGTCGGGTAAGGGGGGGTTGATGACTTCGGACTCTGTGTCCGAATCATCATCATTGCCAGGCTCTTCCTCGAAGTCCTCTCCGGCTTCTTCTTCTTCCAGGACCTCCACTGGCTCGGCAGGTCCGCCCTCGACTTCCTCCTCAGGTTCCTCGTCAGACCCTTCCTCGGGGTCTTCTTCGGGTTCCTCCTCCAGCCATCCGTTATTTCCCTGGATAGGGAAATACGGATCTCCGGGGTGATGGAAGCCGGCCATACTGTCTGCGAGAGTGTATAAATGTACTAATCATTACTTCTAAGATGTTTTAGTTACTATGTAATTTGAATTTAATGTTCTCTTCTTGGTAATAAGGGTATGTTTTTCGGTTTACTAACCATCGAGGTTTTTCCCGGAGCATGTGATAGTTGCACTTCGGAGAAATGTAGTTGATCAGGCTACATTCACCCCTTACTACAACCATGAACAGTCCCGACTTAACTTTTTTTTTTGGAAACGGCAAATGATTAAACGGAAGCCTACTCGCATATTTCAACGAGCACCCCGGGTTCGAGCTCCTTTACAGGGCAAACCCAGCCCCCATAGGGGTTTCCAGGGAAAATTTCCCCACATGTGGCACAAGTTTAAGAGGCACCCAAATTGGGTTTTGCAGGGATTAAACTCCCGACCTCTGACCCCACGTGGTACCTCTTCCCAGCTAGGCTGGAAGTGTTATCTTATTTTATTTGGTATCATATTCTTTCTCCTATATCACACAAGTAAAGATGTTTTATCGTTGTGTCTTATTTGTTTTGTTCAGAGTTGTTTTAGTCCCTCTTTGGTTTATAGTTGCATATCAATGTGTGGTTAGATATGCCAGTTCACTATAAACAAAGCTCTGATACCAACCTGTCACACCCCCGAAACCAGACGCCGAAAACGTTTGGGGGGCTCGCGTGACTTAAATTGAATACCATCACAATAAATATACATGAATCATAACATAAACATCACCATGCATCAATACATTACAACTGATATTGTTTACATCCAGTACATTGTTTTAAATATTACACACTCATAACATAAATTGTTCGAGAGTTTTCAAAAACATAACGTCCTAACATTACTTGATATTTCCCTTCCGCTTACCTGTTACCTGAGAATACAAGTTATTTTGGAAAACGTCAACATATGAAATGTTGGTGAGTTCATAAGTAATGTTGTGATAAAAATGATTTGTGTAGTTTGTAAAACCCAGAAAATCCGATATTTTCTAAAAAGACAATAGTTTATCAAAGTGTGAAGATCCATAAGTTGATGCATGAATGATTTCATAACGTGTATAAAAAAGGAGTTTTGTATCACAATTATTTAGATTACGAGCGAGTGTTGTTGAATTCCCCGAAAAACCCGATGTTTTCCGATGACGAAAGATATACTTGATTACTAATTTCTATACCGTCACAACGAATGATTTTTGATTACTCTTCCTTGATTACTCGGGTGGTGTCGGAGATTATCAATTCTAGTGAGTCGTTATAACTATGCCTGATAATGACTGGTTATAACTACCAACTACAAACGACCCTTAGAGGTGCCGTCCGTTATTACTCACTTAATCCAAACCACCTTGATTACTATTGATTAACGACCTGAATCTGTTTACTTTGATTACTCACAAGCCTTAGCAACCGAGAGAAGAGGAGTCTGAAGTCCTACCACTTTCGTGAGTTACTTTAGGCTGTCGGGGATGCGCAGAACACGTTGGCCCATCTCGCATTTGATTACTTTGACCTTACTAGCAATACTAATAGACCACTAGGGCCCAATAGCACATAAAAGCTATTGAAGGTCCCTTTATACGGAATTGGGTCATAGGAGGCCCAATAACATATAATTGTTTTCCCTTGGGCCCCAAAGATCATGTTAATGGATTTGCAAGATCCAACAAGCATGATTTGAAACTTTCAAGCCCAAGTGTCGAATGTTTACTCGTCTTAGGTATCGCATAACTACTGGAGGGTTCGATTGAACGATTTGTTATGTTTGTATCGACTCGAGACCGAACGATTTGTTTATAACGGTATTTGGAGTTATACGTGTATTTGTCTTTTGATTTTGTAAGCCGTAGATTAGTATTTTTTTCTCAATATTCTATAATTAAAATAAGCGGTTTAAAAATAGTGGTTTGACCTTTTCAGCCCCTTTCTTTTTATAAATAACAATTTTAGTCCTTTATATAAAAGAAAAGTCATTTTAGGCCCTTAAAACATTTTCTTGACACTTTTGCATCATAGACTTGTTTAAATGATATATATAACTCAAGACTTATTCTTTGACAGTTTGAGCCCTTCCAGAATAGTATTTTTCGGTTAAAACCCAAATTTTTGCAATTTTTACAATGTAGCCCAAAATCTAAAAACTTTGCATTTTTGATCCTTTTTGGAATAGAAACCATTTTTAACCATTGAAATAGTTTTGTTACACTTGTTACCCCCTGTTTTGAAGAATTGACCATTTCAGCCCCTTTAAATGTCATATTTTCGCAACTTTGGGCTTGTTGGGCCGAAAAACCCAAAATTTAGCCCATTAAGCTAATATTTACATTTTAAGTCCTTTGGAGGTTATAATGTTCTTAAAAACAATTATTGTAACTGTTTTGACTCTTTTGACCTTTAAGAAACCATGATTTGGCAATTTTTAA